CCTGCCTTTAAGAAACATCTTCTCTGGAAAGCAAGACAAGATATGTGCATAAGTGTATCCTTAATGGTTAAAATGAAATCGTATAGGATTCCCTAGGAAAGAATATTTCAGGCTAAGATAATCAGTAAGGTCTTAATGATGGCAGTGGCATTTAGGTTGAGTCCTAATGCATCTAAGCTTTCAGAAGATACAGGGAAATGTTTAGAATTGAGGCTATAGTAGGAACATTTTAATCATCCTTGTCCCAAAGTGCTAATACAATCCAAAGTAGTCACTTAAACGCTAGGAGAAATACTATCACAAGAGCTCTTGTGTGTGCTTTTTAAACTAGATTTATGCTTTGGAAGTATGTAGTGGTACTAGTGTTGCTCACACTTCCCTGGCCCATCTTCTGGAGCATCACTTTTACTCAAAAATTTAAACATGTTTTAAGGGTAAAAGGTACACAATTTCTAAGTGTCCCAAAGTATGAAATGAACCAGCTTATGTGAAAACTCCACTGTAGCTCCTGGCACATAATAGACATTTCATGTCTGTTGACTCTGAAGAGAAAAAGTTAAAATTTGTAGTAGTAATTGATGACGCAAAATTCAAAAATTGATGAAGTAAAGAATTAAAAGGTCTCACTTCCTGAATCAGCAAGGAATGCAAAGATGATGGTTTGAAAGTAGAAAATTGGAGACAGAGAGATAACAGTGGAAACATTTTTGAGGAAATGACAAGAAGAGCCGGAGAACTCTAATCTCTTGAAGTAAAGTAAGAGGTAAAGGTTATTGCTGAAAGTGAAGGAAGAATGAACAGAAGAACAAGGGCTGAAGTAGTCGTTGACCCAAATTGGATAGAGATCCAGAAAGAGATGAGTAGACGCCTTGTGAGGAGTTTGCGTTAGGAAATTATCTCTGCTAGATCTGCATTTTATGTTCAAAAGTAATCTTAAGGTTCTGCCCCAATCATGATCGTCATAGAAGATCACACATAAAGATTTGACAATAATTCGGCTTGCCAAATAAGCTTTTAGGTTGTGTTTAAGACTGGTTGAAGGGGAAATATATTTTAAATCAGTTTTTTTCAACCTGCTTCCAAGAGAGAATTAACCCTACTGCCCTAAGGCATTATTTTATTTAATGAATTAACCTTTCTTCTAGAGTAGCATCCTTGGGAGAATGGAAAAGGTAGTTACTCCAGTAATTTTCTGTTCTTTGCTTCAGGTGGAGAATCTGGCTTTAAAGAGGCTGTTTTAAACTATTAGTATATTCTGACTCGAGAGAATATTTTTGTTATTGTTTTAAATTGTTCCAACTTATGTTAGGTTTCTGTAATGTAAATCTAGTGAGATATTTCAGACATTCCCATTTGACTCCAAAGGTCTTCACACATTATTATTGATCACATCACATTACTGAGCATTTACTAATATTTTTGCCAAAATAGATACACTACTTTTCTCTGAAGAAACTTAATGATTTAGGGATATGAGGACTTCATGAATAACAATTCTTCAGAAAATTTCTTGATCAGACACTAATGACATGGGGACAAAATTGTGATTTAATAGATATTGTAAATTTATTTGGCAGATATTATATGAACCAGAGGTTCTCAAAGTATGGTCTGTGATCTGAGTCTCTGATACTCTTTCCAGAGTGCCACAGGTTAAAACTGTGTTCCTAACAGTAAGATGCTTTGGCCCTTTTTGCTGTGTTATATTTGCACTGATGGTATAAAAGTAATGGAAGGTAAAAGTGCTGGTGCAGTGCACCAAATTGTTCTGACAGTATATTCTTCATTGCCATGCAGTTCTTTTAAAAGCCACGTACAGAAGCTCATACCTATAATCTCAGCACTTACGGAGTCAAGGTGGGAGGATTACTTGAGGCCAGGAGTTTCAGACCCGTCTGGGCAACATAGGGAGACCCTGTCTCTAAAAAACAAAACAAAACAAAAAACCCAGTTTCATTTAAGAATGTCATTGATGGGCTCGGCGCCTGTCGCTCAAGTGGCTAAGGTGCCAGCCACATACACCTAAGGTGGCAGGTTCGAATCCAGCCCAGCCCGCCAAAAAATCAACAATGACAGCTGCAACCAAAAAATAGCCGGGTGTTGTGGTGGGCACCTGTGGTCCCAGCTACTTGGGAGGCTGAGGCAAGAGACTCGCTTGAGCCCAGAGTTGGAGGTTGCTGTGAGCTGTGATGCCACAGCACTCTACCCAGGGGGATAGCTTGAGGCTCTGTCTCAAAAAAAAAAAAAAAAAAAAAAAGAATGTCATTGATGAAACAATCAAAATTATTAGTTTTATTATATATCACACTTGAATATTTATCTTTTAAGTATTCTGGGTAATGAGTGAGGAGTATTCATAAAGCAGTTCTATGGTGGTTATCCCAAGGAAAAGTACAATTATGGTTAAGTTGTGAGCTTTACTTGAAACAGTGAGACTCTGGTTATTTGGTGGATATTTTATAGACATTTTTTAAAAAACTGAAGTTAGTTGGTCTCTGTCAGTATTTGTTACCAATGATAAAATTTGAGATTTCAAGTGAAAATTAGAATTTTAGAAAACTATCACTTAACTTTACAGATATCCAGTGCTTAATGGCTTATCAGTTGATGTAGGTGGTGATACATTTATTAATCAATGTGGTTTTTTTTTAAATAATGATAATGAGGCATAAACATTTGGAAGATCTGCATAACTCAGTGAACCAGCATATTCCAAATGACCAATGCTTGATGTTACCAAATCATGCATGAGTGAAAGATCCATTCAAAGTACAGAATTTCAGTCGATTTTAATCTAACTAAGTATAAATAGTTTATTGATACGGTTTCAGATTCAGCATTGCAGGTAGCCTTTAGGAAACTACTACTTCTTGAGTTTCAGAGAAGAATATCTTCTTGTTTGAAAAATTACTAAAATATTCTTCTCTTTTCAACTAATCTGTGAGGCCAGGTATTTTTTGTTAGATATCAGTAAATACAATATACCACAACATGTTGAAGGCATATAAGAAACTAATGTCTTCTATTAAAGAGTTACATAGAAATGTAAAATGTTGCCATTCATCTTACTAAATTTCTTTTAAAAACTGTTTTCATAAAAATATATAATTTTAGTTAGCAAGTAATGGGTTTATTTTTGTTACTTGAAAATTAATTCATAACATAAATTTTTAAAGTTGCCTCAGTTTTAATTTTTTACATGATAAAATATCAATAGATAAAACCCACATAAACAAAACCTCAAAAATTTTAAAGAATGTAAAGGAGTTCTTAGATCAGAAAGTTTTAAAACTGCTACTGTAACTTTAAAAATTTTAAATATTCTCATTTTTTGATGTATGAGTGAAGAAGTAGATGTGTTAGACTTGAAACTATCTCTGTCATTTAGGAAAGTAAAAACTGAATTGTTTTGTAGGCCTGTTAATGTACTGTTTTTAGTTAAGATCTCAAGCATGTTTTATTTGGCTTAGCAATTTAATTTTTTTCTATGTTTTAGCCTCTGCGACTTGATATTAAAAGAAAACTAACTGCTAGATCAGATCGAGTTAAGAGTGTGGATTTGCATCCTACGGAGCCATGGATGTTGGCAAGTCTTTACAATGGCAGTGTGTGTGTCTGGAATCATGAAACACAGGTAGGAATTTTTAAGGACTTCATTAGAAAAAATACTGTGTTAGACTGTGTTCATAGTGAAAGAGAAGAAATACTAATACCATCATGGAATCCAATAGTTATATGCAAACTGCTTTCTCAAATAAATTGTTACAAAGTATTTTAAATATGGAAGAACTGACATTTATCAGGATAGTTTATGGGAGAAATTGTTCTGGATATGTTAATCATAAGATTGTACTTAGTTATTTCATTATTACTCTCTAGTAATAATAAAAAGATTGAAAAATGATAGTTTGAGTTTCAGAATTTAGAGAACAGGCATTGTGCATTCATCTCTTCTCTTTCTAGAAGAGTTTCCTGGTTTTCTGCCTTTATCCTATGTAAATAATCCCACTCTGAGCAACTTGAGGGAACATATAAATCACTGTATTTCCACATTTTACTAAAAGGAAACAGCATTTGTATGGAATCATATTGCTAAAATGTGCAAAAGAATTAATTGTACCATGTTTCTGAACCATTTATTATGTGGGGTTTTTTTGTCTTAAAAAGAAGAAACTAAGAGTCAATTCACTCAACATATGCTTACTATGTACTACTTTATATGCCAGTCACTGTTCTAGGGTCTGTGTATACAGTGGTAAACAAGATTCCTGCCCTCAGAGAGCATAGCAGGAAAGATTGATAAACACATAATGATGAGGTGCTATTATACATTATGAAAGGGGATTGTGGATTTTCCAGGTAGAGGGAACAGAAACAGAGGTGAGGCTGGGAGTAGCTAGAGGTGAGACTAGAGAGGGAAGAAAGGGCCAGAGCACAGAGGATCTGGAATGACATCTTGTGGACATTTGCTTTCTCCTGTCTTTTTTTTTTTAAATTAAATCATAGCTGTGTACATTAATGCAGTCATGGGGTACAGTAGTGTGCTGGTTCTATGTACAATCTGAAATCTGTCTTCAAAAGGTGTTTTAATTTTGACTCAATTAAAGAAGATGATTGGTCTTTTTTCTCATTTTAATGTTGAACTTTCATATTTTAGCCTGAGAATATTTCAAAATTAGAAGTGATTTAAATAATTGGATGTATTAAATATAGCAGATTTTTCAGTTATTTTCTCTTAACTCATTGTGTATATTCTTGTTAAAATTTAAAGACACTGGTGAAGACATTTGAAGTGTGTGATCTTCCTGTTCGAGCTGCAAAGTTTGTCGCAAGAAAGAACTGGGTTGTGACAGGAGCGGTAAGTAGATACATTCTCTAATCCCATTTTCTGAATTGGCTAGTGATTATGTAAGTTAGTTGCAGAATTTTCATTCCTGATTTGTTAATTAGTACAGAATTTTGAAGGATGGACTTCATTCTTTGAGCCTGTGATGCAGTTTTGTATACACTTTACTTCATAATAGTAATCATGGTTTTAAAATTTCCATTCTAGGATGACATGCAGATTAGAGTATTCAATTACAATACTCTGGAGAGAGTCCATATGTTTGAAGCACACTCAGACTACATTCGCTGTATTGCTGTTCATCCAACCCAGCCTTTCATTCTAACCAGCAGTGGTAAGAGCTGACCTCCTTTGGTCATCTGCATCTCATTTTCATTCAGTGCGACATGGTATTCTCTAACTGCTATTACAGGTAGAGTTCTAATTCCAAGCATCCTTTAAACTGTTTAGATTCATTACTGTGCTACTGATGCTGCTTGCTTACTAATAAAATATCACCTATACTCAGCATTTCTGTAATAGTTGCTCTGATTCATGTTCAGGAAAGACTTGAGATGTTTAAACATCTGCTGAACAGAAAACTCATTTACATCCTGATGAATGACTTTTGGGCAGATTGCTATAGACCCTAGTCAGTTTTATCTTTATATTCAAAACTAGTTTGCTCCTTAGTACTATGTATAAACAAGTGACCTTTTAGAGGACAGGTAAAACAAGTAGCACTGAATTGGTGATAACTCTTTGAAACCTATTTAAATTAAAAATTGAGATGTTAATTTAAAACTTTTTTTAGTATTATAAGAACAAATATTTGTTCTCTAATCATTGCTATCATTGTTCAGTCAGATTCTAATCAAACTTACGTTGCCCTTTTGTCATTCTTTAAAGGCCACTGAATTTTTCTTAAATTTTTCAAAAAATTTTTATTTTGCTCTTAGCAATATATTTTATTTATTTTATCTCTGCTTTTCTATAGAGAGTTAAGTTTATTGATAGGATAAAGATTTTGAAAAATCTGTTCAGTTTTGATTGTATTCCTGCAAAACATGGAGTATTAAGATTTGTGTTAGGTTTGCTGCCTTAGAAGGCACCTAGACTCTGTGTCCTAGTTCTGAAATGAAAAATAAATAGAAATTACAACTAACTTGAGACTTGTTTTGTCCTAGATGATATGCTCATTAAGCTCTGGGACTGGGATAAAAAATGGTCTTGCTCACAAGTGTTTGAAGGACACACTCATTATGTTATGCAGATTGTGATCAACCCCAAAGATAATAATCAGTTTGCCAGTGCATCCTTGGACAGGACCATCAAGGTAGAGTATCTACTTCCTGTGTCAGTTATCATTAGTAAAATATCGTTGTTTTAAGTTTTTCTTAAAACTTATTTTGAGAATTTTTCTCAAAAACTTATTTTGAAGTCAAAACGGGGCTTCTCATTTGAATCCACAAGAGTATGTTTTGTTTAGAAAAATATTGTGGTGACCCAGTGCTCTTCATAAAGAGTGTTTTTCTGTGTGGAAGCAACATATAACATTTTTTAGACCTGCAGGAACCCAGAATAAGACAAATGCCAGTGTCTTTTTTAGGTCACGACTTTCCTCTCCTTTTAGTGTATTCATTATTGACCTCCACTCGTTATTGGTATATTTTATATTTAAATTCCACCTGCCTCCATTCTCTCTTACTCCAGTTTTCTATAGTGCTGTCACTGTCTTTCTAAAACATAGATTTCATCCTGTCAGTTCGTGATGTAAGAATAAAGTCCAAATGCTTTAGTATGGAATACAAGGATTTCCAAGACTAGCCTGGACTAATATCATGAGATATCTCCTAAAATCCTTGTCTACTCACTATCCTGTAGAGATGCCATGAATATTCACAGAACCTTGCCTTATTTAACTGTTCCTCCAATTATTTTTATTTTCCCATTTTGATTTATTTTCCTTTGGAGAACTACTCAGCTTTCATAAAATGTTACCTGTCTGAATATCTTAGAGTTTTGACTTATTTTTTTTCCTTTTCATAGAATTGTCATTGCTTTTGACATAGCTTGGAAACTTTGAAGTTAGTTTTAAACTTTCTTCACTAAATTAGGTTTATCTTGAAAATAATTACTTTGTTTTTGACTCCAGTAAAGTTTGTTGTATACAGTAAGTGGTAAACATTTGTTTACATATGTTTATACTCCCCACAGGGCGGGAGGGAGTAAAAAGTAAAAAAGATAAATTTATCAGTAAAAAAAGATAAATATCAGTTCTCTGCTGTGGGAACTTTTTTTTTTTGAGACAGTCTCACTTTGTTGCCCTTGGTAGAGTGCTGTGGTGTCACAGCTCACAGCAACCTCAAACTCTTGGGCTTAAGCAATTCTCTTGCCTCAGCCTCCCAAGTAGCTGGGACTACAGGTGCCCGCCACAATGCCTGGCTAATTTTTTTTTTTTTGGTTGTAGTTGTCGTTGTTTGGCAGGCCTGGGCTGGGTTCGAACCCACCAGCTCCTATCTATATGGTTGGCGCCCTTTGCTGCTGAGCTACAGGTGCCGAGCCTATGGGAACTTTTGACTGCTTTTCTATACTTTAAATTAAAGAGTAATTTTCTTTTACTACATCTTACTACATCTACTTCCATTAGCTTTGTATTAAATCTCTCATAAAATCACTTCTTACCCTTAATGTAGTGTTTCTTAAAGTCTTATACATCTAGGTTCCTGGGCTGCACTATCGATAAACTAGATCATAATCTCTAGTGATAAAGCCTGGCAATTGGCATTTTTGGAGAACAGCATAGTGATTCTGCCCCCTGGAAATTGAGAAAGAACAAAAACAATTAGGTGGAAAAAAACAAGTATTGTTTAGCTTTTCTCTCCTGGACTTTGGCATTATATAATATGTCAGAAGTGTGGGGGGATCTGCCTTCTGTAAAGCAAGGCCCTGTAATGACTGGGGCTATTGTTCTCTGAAGGTGTGGCAGTTGGGCTCTTCTTCACCAAACTTCACTCTGGAAGGACACGAGAAAGGTGTGAATTGCATCGATTACTACAGTGGTGGCGACAAACCATACCTCATTTCAGGTGCAGATGACCGTCTCGTTAAAATATGGGATTACCAGGTACAGGTTTTTTATAACCTTACATGCCGTGTGTTAGACATGTTTCTTACTGTTTGTCACAGGGCAGTTGAAACTTGGGTTGTTGATCTCCACTTGTAGCATAATAATTTAAGATGTTAAGGATTTGTACCTAACCTGTGCTTCTAGAATCATCCATAAAAATGAGTACATTGCATGTCAAGATTTTACAAATAAAATGCCAGCATGTTTATTTGTCATGTAATAACATAAATTAGAATTTTAACATTTTAATGTTACATTGTAATCCTCCAGTATCGTCACTGGCATATTTATATTTGAAAACTAGATCAATAAATTATGTCATGATATAGCCATGGTGCAGCCATTATGCTGCATACAACTCTTGATACCATGCTATCTTCAAGATTTTCTTAAATGTCTGTATTTTTGTTTCTCATTTAAAAAGGTTTTTTAAGCAGCTAATGAGGCCTAGAAAACCAGTTTTACCTAGAAACTTTTTCAAATTTGTACTTAAATACAAAATAAAAATATTAAAAGCTTAAACAGCACTATCTACTTAATCCACAGATGGTAGGTGCAAGTATTAAGGGAAAAATTTATTATCTTAAGAATTTGGGGCAGTAATATTCAGATGAAAACTTGGTGTTTTCTTTTTTTCTTTAAATGTGATGGTTTACTTTATATTTATTTTATGAAATAGAGAAAATATTCACATATATAGCAAGATTATTCTATCTCAAAAAATTTCTGTATTAGATACTATTTAAATTGTCATAACTACTGTCATTAATAATGCATTGAAAAAATTAAGCATAGGTTGGTTCCTGGTTTTTCACTAATAAAAAATGTTTCCTTTTTCTTTATTACAGAATAAAACATGTGTGCAGACACTGGAAGGACATGCCCAAAATGTGTCTTGTGCTAGTTTTCATCCTGAGTTGCCAATTATCATCACAGGTTCAGAAGATGGTAAGTTAGAAGTATATGTTTATTCCTGTGCTAGTAATTACTCAGAAAATATTTAAACCAGGTAGTGTCTCTACATTGTAATTGAAGCATTTTGATAATCTGAGACTAAAGCACTAGGAGAGTAGATGAGCATTCATCTTCATCCTCATCATTATTACTCTGGTATGTTTTCATGCTATCTTTAGATAGGAGGACACCCAGATGTTCTAGAAAAACAATGAAAAAGCATGTGTTTTGGAGTCAAACCTGGCCACTTCACGAATGTGTGGTTTAGGAGGACTGGAAGGAAATAGACATATTCACTTTATAACATTACAGTGAGAGGATAAAAAGAAATCAGGTCTAGAAAGCATCTGGCACATAGGAAGCACTTTACCAAGGAAATCCTGTTATTATTTCACGGTTAAAATCACATTTCTTAGTTTTAATTTCTTATACATTTCGATGTTTATGTTGTTTTATAAAGTCATTTAAAGACCTTGGACCAAAAACTTGGTCACAAAGCCTCCAGGAAATGTTTTTTAATTGAATAAAAAGACTTCCATGTGGCTCATTCACCCGATAGAGTTTATTGTTGGGTATGTGTATCAAAAGGGAATATTCATATTGTTCTTTTTAGGAACAGTGCGTATTTGGCATTCAAGCACCTACCGGCTTGAGAGCACATTGAACTATGGAATGGAAAGGGTATGGTGTGTGGCCAGTCTAAGAGGGTCCAACAATGTCGCTTTGGGCTATGATGAAGGGAGCATCATTGTTAAGGTAATTTATACAGTCTCTCTAAGTAGGACAACACAACCACAGCCATTTTCCTTATATTTTAGCACTGTCATCTTCCAAGTCACCAGTTTCATTAAACTGATACTTCTTTAATTAAGCAATGGAGATTTAAAGTAGAAGAAAGGAATTAGAGCTCTCTGTTAAAGAAAAAAAGAATAATCTATTTTGTTGTGGTTTTGTTTTCCTTTTTATTGCTGAGAACCATTTGTCATTGTTACAGCTTGGTCGGGAGGAACCTGCCATGTCCATGGATGCCAATGGAAAGATAATTTGGGCCAAGCATTCAGAAGTCCAACAGGCCAACCTAAAAGCAATGGGAGA